CGAATTTGTCTTAAGATTGTTGAAACAATCTTCTTTGTAAAAAAAATAATTTGAAACTGTATCAAACAAATAAAATAAATTATTTAAAGAAATTTATTCACCGAACCGAATAAATAATTAAAAAATCAAGTCGAATGTGTGACACTCTATCCTTAAGACATATTTGCTCCGCTACGGTACTTACGGACAAATGAAATCTATCTCCCAAGATACAATGATCTTCACAAATTGTACTAGCACTCCAAATAATTTGTACGACGAATAAAACCTGTATTCTATACTCTCAAAGTATTTCCTAAAATATAATATGAAGAATTATTCAAAGAAAGAGCAAAATAGACTGCAAAATGAATTTTTCATATTGTTTTCAGATGCAAAAGACTGCTGAAATGGCTAGTATTTATAGGCATACAAGGTTGACCGAACAGGTATGTATTTGAACTTGAACAGGTGCAAAACTCTTGAACAGATATAATTCAAATTTCGAACAGATAATTGCTTCAAACTGCAACAGATCTGCTAGCAATTTTGGACAGATAACTGCTGGGCAATTTGGATCTGTCCGGGTAGTTTTAAACCTGTAAAACAGTTTGAATCTATTAAACATTTGAATCTGTTGTGGAATTTGGAAGAGGTACAAATTTTTGGAAAAAATTTGAATTAAAAAATATTTTGAAATTCAAATAAATTTTGTCTAAAAAATTAATATTAGAACCGACCCGACATACACCAGCGCTAGGCCGATCAGTCGACGACGGTAGAGCGTGCGTAGTGGTTTGAGCCAAGGTTCCATTCGTCCGTAACTCCTCCCTCCTACGAACTTGGGGTGCCCCTTGGGGCCCAACCCAAGTGTTGCTACCTAGAATTTATACACACACATAAGTTCTTTTAAGTTTTTAATGTGGGACAAACCTTATAAGGAAATCTATATTTTACTTCTTTAAATGTTCATTCCACGAACTCGAAAACGACGTCAAGTTCTCATTCACTCATAAATGGTTTTAGTGAATTGTCTTCACCGTGTGACTTGCTATGCGACAAGGAACACGTCACCTCTTCGGACCCACCTCAAAAGACATATGGACCCCACTCAATTTTGAACTTAAAATTAACCCAAAATAAACCTATAAAAAACCAAAATTTCCGACACTAACTTCAAGCTCCCCAATCAATGGAGCTTACTCTTACATTCTGTTTCTTTTAGAAGAAAAAAATAGAAAAATATTTTTTGTTATTTGGTATGACAAAGACATTCTTTATAGTCAATAAATAAAATACAAAAATTTTATTTGGATGTTATACATCTTTCACTTTTAAAAGGTAAATAATATTTTTTAAACTAAAATCATACTAACACCACTATATTACCATTATCATCTCCCCCTCCTTCTCCTCTTCTTTCATTTCATTACTACCAGTACCACTCTACAGCTCTATTGGCTACCATTTCCTTCACCAACTCCCCATCGCCATTACTTGTTCTCTACCAAAAAAAAAAAAAAACTGTTTTAAAAAATATTTAAACATAGAGTTTACTTGTGTAAAGCTGCTAATTAAATAGGTCGTGCTAATTAATTGGTAAATTCTAAGAGCGTCTCTAATCATTACCCATATTTTTTATTAAGGCCTAGTTTAGAAAGTTAGCTATTTTAGTATGCTATTTTAATTTTTGCCTATTTTAATAGGTTAAAATTTTTGTGTTTGGGAAGATTGTTAGATTTTTTTTAATTGGATGTGATGTTTGTGAGAGAAACAGTGAAATGATTATGGGTTTGATATGACATTTTGTCTTATTAACTATTTTAACCTATTTTGTCTTTTTGTGAATTTTAGCCTAAAATAAGCTAAAATAGCCCTTGCCATACCAGGCCTAAGTTTAAATTTGATGAAATAGATTCATTTTTCTGCTCCAATGTTGGCATCAAACCTATATTAAATGAGGAAAAAATTAAAAGTTTCATCTAATGAAAAGAACCACTCATTTTTCATAAAATTTAAATTGTTATTGTTGGGTGGACATCCAGTGTTGGGCTGTACATCCTCTCGGATGTTCTCCCAATAACAACTTTGACAATTTTTTTTGATTCATGTCCGGACAATCTCCAAGACATTTGTCATGACATCCTATTGGATAATGGAGAATATAGAAAAATCTGATAAAAATTATAATTTAAGATTAGAATAAGTGGTATCAAATCAAATTTTTATTCAAATTTAATAAAATTTTTAATTCAACGTTAGAGATGCTCTTGATTTACACTATTGCCTTATCCATGGTTGGAAAATGTATGTTTGGTTTGCATTTGAGAGATGAGTTTTAGAAAAAATTTCTAAAAAATTATTTGGTTTGAGTTTTTCTCAAAAAAATTTCAAAATCACTTTCTCCCTCTTACACATCAATCAATCATTTTTTCTCTCTCCTCTCTCATTCTCTATCACTTTTTCTCTCACATACATTTACTCAAATTGTCTCAAAATATCAAATCATTCCAAACTTTCAAAATCGGTTTTCCAGCTACATTACTTGCATGCAATGGCCCAAATTACACATTTACACATGCTAACATGCTACTAATACAAGATTACAACAGTATGATGCTCAATTTCTTGATTTATCCGTATGTATGTCCTAAAATATGTCAAACTCAACATCAATATAACAAATTCATGCATTCAAGCTCATATCTTCTCAATTTGTACATGCATGTGATGAATCAGCCACATTCTCAACTTAGATGACACAAATGGTGATCAAAACATGAGTTTCAACTAAAACTCTACATGAATCATGTGTTTCAAGCTCAAACATGCAAATTCAAAGTAATTTCTTACATGCATGAGTTCTAAGACTTCAAACTCAACAAAAATCAACTTATTACAAGCTCTTGATCACAAACAACTCTTGAACTCACCAGATTACATGTTCAATTCATAATTTCAAGAGTCAATGGCTTACCTAGAAGTCCAATTCTTCAATCTATGGTCCAATTTGAGTTGGACTTCAAGATTCCAAGCCCTCAAGATCAAACACAGATTTCTCTCTCTTCTCTCTCTCTAATGGCCGGCCCTCTCCTCTCCTTAGAGTGTATATCAGCCAAGCGAGAATTAGAGAGGGAGTTTAATTGAGTAGTGCTTATATACAACAAGCCCCACTAAGTCAATATAATAATATAATATAATGGGGTACTTAATTTATTATTTTAATCAGTTTAAATTGACCAGAATCAATTTTCAATTAAATTTCACCGTAGGCTCCAAAAATTATGCCAATCACAATGGCGAAATCAATTTCGGGTTCTGTGGCCGATAAGGCCTCCAATTTAATTTCCAAAGCTGATTATTCACACAGATATTCCTACGGTGAACAGATAAAACTTTCAAAATCACTTATATTCACATAATGGCACATAAAATCATGGTAAACACATAATCACACTCAATTTAAGGACCAATTAGCATATTACGGAACAGGGGTATTACACAATCAATGGGGCTTACTCTTACATTCTGTTTATTTTAGAAGAAAAAAATAGAAAAATATTTTTTGTTATTTGGTATGACAGAAGACATTCTTTGTAGTCAATAAATAAAATAAAAAAAAATTTATTTGGATGTTATACATCTTTCACTTTTAAAAGGTAAATAATATTTTTTAAACTAAAATCATACTAACACCACTATATTACCATTATCATCTCCCCCTCCTTCTCCTCTTCTTTCATCTCATTACTACCAGTACCACTCTGCAGCCCTAATGGCTACCATTTCCTTCACCAACTCCCCATCGCCATTACTTGTTCTCTACCAACAAAAAAAAAAAAAACTGTTTTAAAAAATATTTAAACATAGAGTTTACTTGTGTAAAGCTGCTAATTAAATAGGTCGTGCTAATTAATTGGTAAATTCTAAGAGCGTCTCTAATCATTACCCATATTTTTTATTAAGGTCTTGTTTGGAAAGTTAGTTATTTTAGTATGCTATTTTAGTTTTTGCCTATTTTAGTAGGTTAAAATTTTTGTGTTTGGGAAGATTGTTAGATTTTTTTTAATTGGATGTGATGTTTGTGAGAGAAACAGTGAAATGATTATGGATTTGATGTGACATTTTGTCTTATTAACTATTTTAACCTATTTTGTCTTTTTGTGAATTTTAGCCTAAAATAAGCTAAAATAGCCCTTGCCATACCAGGCCTAAGTTTAAATTTGATGAAATAGATTCATTTTTCTGCTCCAATGTTGGCATCAAACCTATATTAAATGAGGAAAAAATTAAAAGTTTCATCTAATGAAAAGAACCACTCATTTTTCATAAAATTTAAATTGTTATTGTTGGGTGGACATCCAGTGTTGGGCTGTACATCCTCTCGGATGTTCTCCCAATAACAACTTTGACAATTTTTTTTGATTCATGTCCGGACAATCTCCAAGACATTTGTCATGACATCCTATTGGATAATGGAGAATATAGAAAAATCTGATAAAAATTATAATTTAAGATTAGAATAAGTGGTATCAAATCAAATTTTTATTCAAATTTAATAAAATTTTTAATTCAACGTTAGAGATGCTCTTGATTTACACTATTGCCTTATCCATGGTTGGAAAATGTATGTTTGGTTTGCATTTGAGAGATGAGTTTTAGAAAAAATTTCTAAAAAATTATTTGGTTTGAGTTTTTCTCAAAAAAATTTCAAAATCACTTTCTCCCTCTTACACATCAATCAATCATTTTTTCTCTCTCCTCTCTCATTCTCTATCACTTTTTCTCTCACATACATTTACTCAAATTGTCTCAAAATATCAAATCATTCCAAACTTTCAAAAAAATAACTCTCCCAAAATATACAACTAAACAAACCAAAAAAATTTTTAAACTCTCTCTTCAAAAAAAATTTCAAAAACAATTCTCCCCAAAACAAACCAAACAAGCCCGTAATTTTTTAATTATACCGGGGAGGCAGTATAATTTATTCAACCCAATTTGCAGGTATAAAATGCTCCAGCCTCCGCTCTCTGCAGATAGAGAGAGATCGGGGAGAGAGAAAATGGCAGTACCGAGGCGCAATGGACTGAGGGAAGAAGACGAAGAAGACGAAGCTCTCTTCGAAGAAGACGACGGTTTGGTTCTTCTACCCGAGTCCGACACCCCTCCCCACCTCCGTGACCTCGCCGCCGCCGCCGAGCTCGGCGACCTCGCCGCCCTCCGCCGGGCCCTAGGTATACACGCACACGTATATTATCGTGTGTAATTGGTTTTATCTTTCTCTCTCTCTCTACTGATGTCAATTTTGATGTTATTCTTGTCACCTGTTTAAAAATTTCAAAATAAAAAACTAGGGTTTAACAATATTGGTTTAAAGTTATTGATTTTAAGGGAAGATCTAGCTGATTTGATTATGAATGATAGTTCTATTATTAGTAGTAAAAATGACCCGTTTAGTTTTTGGCACTTTAGAATTCTTGGAATCTATGATTTGATTAATGGTTTTTTTATGCTGTGTATTTGCTGTAGTTAAATGCATTGACCTTGATTGGAATTTGGCTATTTTAGTTAGCTTTTTGACTATCAACAATGCTAGACGGCCACAATTTTTGTGGGCACAATGGCTCAAAACTGTCAAAACGACGTCGTTTTAGGTGCAAAACATGCCAAAACGATATCGTTTTGGCAGTTTTGAGCCATTGTTTTGATTATTTTACTTTAACTAAAATAGTTGTGTTTGGGAAGGTAGGGTGGTTTTGGATGTTTTAAATAAGCGTACTTTTTGACTTTATATATATATATATATAAGGTGTAGAAAAGTAGAGAAAGTGGGACTTAAGGCTTAGTTTGGTTTGGTCATAAAAGGTGTAGAAAAGTAGAGAAAGTGGCTATAAAGTAGAGAGGAAATGTTGATAGATGTTGATTGATATGACCTAAATAAGTATATGTATGTAAAAAAAAAGTGCACTTTTTTAGTGTATACCAAACACCTACTTTGTCTTTTTTGTTTTTAGTTGATTTGATGGTTGTGAGAGAAAAATTAAAATGATTATAGATTGGATGAGACCAGTGTTATTAACGGCAATAGGCGCACCAAGGCGCCAAGGTCTTCTGGGGTCTAGGCTCAAGGCGCAAGGTGAGGCGTAGGCTTCACCAAAGTAAGGCGCATGTTGTACGGAAAAAAATATAATTTAATATAAATAAATAATTTAGGGTTAGACATAAACAAAATGAAATGTTAAACATTTTAGTGTTTTTGGGAGATTAGAAATTAGGGCTATTTTTTCTTATATCATTGATTTGGGGTTGAATGCCTAATGTATTGACATCTGTAATAAGAGTAAGTATCTTCTATAGCTACATCATATTAAATCAATAGTTAGATTTCAAACAAAACTAATTAAAGTAACAATAAAAAAAGCTCTCAAGATGCAAGCCTTGAGTCAATCAGGTGCCTTATCATAGTCGTTTGGCCTGGAACACTACAAGGCTCAAACCTTGGGCTTGGACAAGACTTGGGCCTAGGCACATGCCTAGGCGTGCCTTATTGAAGTCGCTTGGCCTGGAACACAACAAGGCGCAAACCTTGGGCCTGGATGAGACATGGGCCTAGGTGCATGCCTAGGCGCGCCTTTAATAACACTGGATGAGATATTTTGTTTTGTTGACTATTTTAGCCTATTTTATCTTTTAGTGAGTTATTTTAGCCCAACCCTTTTCCCAAATAAGGCCTAATTGTGATGTGAGGATACTATGAATAAAAAGGATTTTTTTGATAAATAAATTGTGTTCTTAGTTGTAGCCTTCAATTAGGATGGTAGTCTATTGCAACAACCATAATTTATGAGAACACATAGCAGTTGAAGCGAGTCGTTTTTGGTGGTGGTAGCACAAATATTGGGACAATTCATGTATGGTACTGAGTCATTATGCCATCGATCTATTTGCAATGTGTAATTACAAAAGTATGGATTTGGGGGTTTTGTTTTGTTGAGTTGAGAGATGGAGAAGAATTTTTTGCAAAATAAGGACCTTGTAAGAGCAGAGAGTTACAAAGCCCTCGTTGCATATGAATACCATGGCTTCCTAGTGGAAAGGCGAGAGAACTCATAGGAAGGGCTTATGGTGCTATTGATGGACTTCATTTGTGAAGATGGGGAGAGAGTCATCCTCAAATCATAATGAGCATCTTACCTTGTTCAACCTGAAAATTATTTGCCTTCCTTTTGTAAATGAAAGAGATGATGTACTCATTGCTTTTCTTATATCTTATAAGGTTTTTGATGAGAATATCATGGGATGTACACTTTTGTTAAGTTGAAAAATAACTAGTATTTAAATTCTGTACATGTACACTTATATCTAGGGATCTTTGGTGAGACCCAACATGATTTAAATTTTAAACATGTACACTTTTTGGGACTAGTGATACAGTGAGTGGTTTTGTGGGTGATACAATTTAAATTTAAATTGAATGGTTTTGTGGGTGATACAGTGAATGGTAAGACTAGTGAAACAATTTAAATTTTAGCCCAACATGCACATAAAGTTCTCCAACATTCTAATGAACATTATCCACTTGCAATCATATCAAATATGCATAAGAACAATTAGGGTCCGTTTGGATGGATATGGATTTCAAATCAAGGGATTTGACCTTAATAATTAAGGACAATAACTCAAACTTAGATATGATAATTTACTTATGAATTTCAAAATTGAGTTAAATAGCTTTATCATAATGAGTTTGAAATAACCACATAAAAGTAGTTATTTGAAATCATGCTAAGAATACTCTTCTACAAAGGATCCTACCAAAATATATATCTTCCATGTCAACGTGTCTTCTTCCATTGTTTTTCTATTCATTTAACCTCGAATCCCTTGATTTGAAATCCACATATATCCAAATGGACCCTTAATGACATTTGTTGGAACCCTATATCAAACTCTCGAATTTGTTGGTTTATAAGGTTATATAAGGGGGCACTAACCTGTGACTAGGTTTTTTAGAGTTGCATTTTTGGTACTTTGGATAAAGGTCCAATTCTGGCATTCATGTCCATTAATTGCTGACTTCCGTTTTATTTTGTTAATTCTACTTGTGGACTTGACCAGGTGTTGCAAAGACGATATGATTCTATCATATAATTGGATATGTGCTTTTATTATTTTGGTGATTTGTTGTACTCAAATTTGATGGCATTATATTAACATTTTATTTGATGGTGTGATTCTTCCCCTCTTTTGTGGACAACTACAGATAATTTGGGTGGCAGCATCGATGAACCAGTGGAAGATGGGGACACTGCCCTTCATCTTACCTGTCTCTATGGCTATCTGCCTTGTGTCCAGGTCAGTTTCCTCTTGTTGCTCTATTCTTGTAATTAACTACAACTAACATTGTTTGCAGGTTGCACCCCTTTGGTGCCTCATTTTTAATTAACTACTGCTAACATTGTTGTTGTTATCAATATTGATAAGGGCTAATTTCACTTTACCCCCTATGGTTTATTTATTCAATGTGCGGTTTGCCCCCCTGTCATTTGGAAATAAGCACATAATCCGTTTTGGTTTATGGACCAAAGTACACCGTCAGAGATAAGGGGTTGTGTTCATATCCAAATGTCAGGAGGTAAATCACACGTGGAATAAAGAACAAGGGGGTAAAGTGCATTGAGTCCCAGTATACTGACAAAAAAGCACATAGTTTACACATTGAGGTTACTTATATACGGATTCATTTTAGTCTTTTTACTTGAGTCGTTAACAGTACAAACGGTAATGCCCACAAACCATGAGGGTTTATGTGCTTATTTCCAAATGTTATGGGGTAAATTGCACATAGAGTAAACCTCAGTGAGGTAAAGTGAAAATTGGCCTATTAATAATTATGGAACAACAATCTGATAATCCCCCTTCATATATAGTTATTGTTGGAAAGAGGAGCTAGCTTGGAGGCTAAGGATGAAGACGGTGGGATTCCTCTCCATGATGCATGTGCAGGAGGTAAGCTCTAGCCCTTACCTTCCACTATCATGCTCTTCTGTATATTTGTCAATTTTGTGCCAATGACCACCTGCAGGATTTACAGAGATAGTTGAACTTCTGATCCACAGCACCAGCGATCCGGAGTGTGTGAAAAGAATTCTAGAATCAGTTGACGTGGAAGGGGATACAGTGAGTGGTTTTGTGATTGTGAATATTTTTCTCCAATTCTGTTGAAGCGTTTATATTGGACTAATGGCTTAAAACCTCGATTAAATCCATGAGTGTCCAATTGTGGAACTCAGAGATCACATGGTGGTTAGGCTGTTTATTTTGGAAAACAATGTTACCTATGTTGCTTTCTGGCAAAACTTTTATTAGTTGCTCTTGATCATCGTCTTGACTCTCTTTTCTTTTACTTCTTTCACTTACACAGCCTCTGCATCATGCGGCTAGAGGCGAACATGTGGATGTTATAAGATTGTTGCTGGCTGCTGGTGCTTCTCCTACAAAGACAAATATATATGGAAAGGTGAGCATTTGAAAGAATATTCTGCTTCTCTAATTTTTTTGATTTCTATTCTGCTCCCTAATTTACAATTTTGGCAGACCCCAAGTGAGCTAGCTGATCCAGACACGGAAGCTAGGAGAATCCTAGGAGCAGCCGCCATTGATATGCCATGCCAACAGTCTTAACTTATAATTATTGAAGATATATTGAATTTTGATTTGGTTGCGGCCATTGTTTCTGTTCACCTTTCTTATGTAATGGGTAGACATTTGTTTTATAGATGTTGATCAGTTTTTGTTATCAAACAGTTTGAGAACTTGGAGGAAGTTGGGGTTTTGCTTCACTTGAACCCCTGTTCTGCATTACTTTTATCAGTGTCCTCGCTGCTGTTAAATTGTTTGAGGCTCATAGCCATTAAGTGAAGGACATGAGAACCAACCATCGTGGTTAACCCAGTGGCCAGAGCCCATGTATCTCAGTTGAAAGTCGCAGGGTTGATACCCGTGAACTTGAGCAATCCGGAGATTGTACAATGGGAGGTAGGAAACGCTGTGAACTTGAGCAATCCGGAGATTGTACATAGGGAGGTAGGGAACGCGGTAATTGGGTTTGAGGTTTTTTCTCTTGTCCTTGTAAATAAGATTGGTCCCTAGTCCCACCATCAATTGTTGATTGTATTGCTGCTTACATTTTGTCTAGTGGCACTACCTAAAATTGGGAGGGTATTATGGTAAAATTGTCAATCATGCCAAGATTAAGGCCAAGTTTGGCATACCTCAAATAATCTATCTTTTTATCTTTTTATCTTTTTTTTATCACATTATCTCTCTACTTTTTTGCACATCTTTTCGTAAAAAGACAAAAAGTGCACTTATTTAGGTCATTCCAAACAATCCCTAAATCTACCATTTGGCGCAGAAAGTGAAATAGAGCAAATTATTATCAGGCAAACAAAAAAGAACAAATTATTCAGTGTTTGGTTTAATTTTTGGAATTTAATTTTTTGAAAATTAAATTTTTATTGTTTTATATTTTTTTGTTTTTAGTAAATATTTTTAAAATTTTAAGTTATTTTTTTATTTTTTTTATATGCACTTTACTTATTAGAAGTATCTAAAAAATAAAAAAAATTATAAAAAAATATTTTAAAAAATTAATAAATACATAAAAATATGAAAAATGTATTAAATTCTTGTAATTTCTTTTTATTTGTATTTTTTAGTATTTAGTAAATATTTTTAAGATTTTTTTTTTAATAAATGTTATATTTTGTAAATGTATTTATGTTAGGTTTATTTAAATATTAAAAAAAATAAAAATAAAAAAAATACGAAAAATAAAAAAAAATTATTTTTAAAAAAATGAATTTTAAAAAACTAAACCAAAATTATTTTTTAACAAAGAGGTCTAATATGCCCGCCTTATTATGTAGTATAAAATTTTAGAAAAAGAAATGAAATGATAAACAGCAGTAATAATCATGGAACAGTGGCACCAACTAAACAATTAGCTATACACAAATTAGGAGCAATTTGGACGAACCCAAATTTAGTAGATATAGCTATGGTTAAAATTTTATGAACACAAGTAATTATTTATAAACAATGTGTATAAAACAAAGGGGTACTTATGTATATGTCTTAATAAGTGAACTTATCATCTAATAAGTCTTATAGAAAAAATTTGTCATAAAAAAAGTCATTAATTGTAAGTTTTAGCGATAATTTATAAAAATCATAACAAAAAAATACCAATTATCAATTTTTAGCGACATATATAAAAAAATTGTCACAAAAAAAATTATTTTTAGCAATAATTTTACCAAGACTTATTTTCAATAGGACTTGATAAGAATTAAGTTCAACTATTAGGATCTATAAGTAGTTTACCTTAAAAAAATTATTACTATGCACAACTTTGGAAAAGTACAATATAAGGTTATAATTTAGAAAGCATTAGAATAAAAATAAGAGTTTGGTTTCTTTTAGAAAATGTTATAGGTCTCAAATTTTTTACCAAATAAATGACTCAATATCTTTTGTGGACGTGGGGTTCACAAAAATATTGTGGACGTGGGGTTCACAAAAATATAGACCCCACACCTATGTGAGACATTTAGTCATTTATTTAGTAGAAAATTTGATGTCCTTAACAATACCATTTCTTTTAAGTTATCATATCAATTTGAGAGGATGTTTGGATTTGGTAGACTTATTTTGGAATCAATTTTGGTGATCTAAATCGTTCACTTTGTAAGACTCGTTGAGTATAATATTCATGCAAAAAATAAAATGATTGAATATTAGTAACTATATGTTTAAAACATATTTGTTTTAAAATAAATAAATGACAAATAATATTTTAAGAATAGCCATCTATTTTTTGCAATACAAACTTGATTCAAACATATGATTATCGATGTCTGTTCATCTTATTTTTTATATGAATATTTCACTAAGCAAATCTTAAATTAACACAAGCAACGTAAGAGAAGCCAAACCTTAAAAATAAAGGTTTTAGTTCACAAAAAATATTTTTCAGAAAATTATATATTTTTATTTTTCGTATTTTTTTTTTGTTTTCAATGAATTTTTTTAATAATTTAAATAATTTTTTTTAATTTTTAGATACACTTAATATAAATAAACTTAAAAAGTATAAGATTTGTGAAAAAAAATCTTTAAACAATTCACTAAATACCAAAAATATAAAATAAAAAAATTATAAAAATTCAGCACATTTTTCATTTTTTTGTGTATTTATTAATTTTTTAAAATATTTTTTCACAAATATTTTACTATTTAGATACATCTAAATTAGGTGCATCTAAAAAAAAATTTACTTGACATTTTAAAAATATTCATTAAAAATATAAAAAATAAAAAAATTAATTTTCAGGAAACTAAATTCACAAAACTAAAACCCAACACACTAAGGCTAGATTTGATATCCCTTAAAAAAGTTAAAAAGTCACTATTCTATTTAAGTCATATCATCTTATTTAAGTCGTATAAACATTCTATTATATCACTTTAAAGTTAAACTGAACCTATATTTTATAAAAAATTAAAAAATATACTTATTCAAAACATTCCAAACAAAAGGAAATTTTGGTCATACATTCAATTAGTAGTGTGGAAGAAGGTCGCTCCGGATATTTATGTAAAAAAAAAAAAAGTTATATAAACAAATTTCCCTCTAAATGTTTTTTTTTTTTTCAAAATCAACTAAACACAAATCAATGAGTGTTTTATGTATTTATTGATGTGAGTCCCTCTGTCTTTATATTTAGGCCTCGTTTGACAAGTAATTTTTTAGTTAAAAAATCAATAATTCATATCAAAAAGTTATTTCTTTCTACTTTTTACATATGTTTTCGTAAAAAATTAAAAAATTATCCAAAACTTATATTTTTTTTACATTATATTTTAGCTTAAAAATCAAAAAAACTACTAAAAAAATTTATTTTCAAACAAGGCCTTAGGTCTCTTTTAAAAAGCTATTAAAAGTTACTTTTTAACTTTTTTAATCGCTAACGTCATTTTTTATATTTTTTTTAATTTTTAAAAAAGAAAATTAAAAAAATAAAGAAAACAAACTCAATTAATATCTTCCTAAAAGACCATGAATTATGAAAATGCAGTAGATAATGCAAACTGTTTTGTCCATCTTTTTAGAAAAATTTTGAGGTAATCTAAACGACGGCTCGTGATCAGTCTCAGCTTCAAAACTGTGATCAAAATTTTCAAAGTAGTTTTAACAAGCTTTCCCAGTCGAGAGAGAGAGAGAGAGAGGAGGCTTCATTTGCAGATCTCAAACGGCTTGAAAATGGCAGCTGCGCCAGCAAGAGCTCGAGCCGATTACGATTACCTCATCAAGCTCCTTCTCATCGGCGACAGCGGCAAGTTATCTTCTCTCTCTCTCTCTCTATATATATATATATATATATTGCATATTCTTTCATGTAGTTTATATGTATTTTAATTTAGGTTTTGCTATCAAATTCATTCATGAAGATTTGATTGTCAGTTAATTTGGTTTACTCAAAAGGCTTTTTTTTTTATGCATTAATTTGACCTTTTGAACTGATTACTTTGAGTTTGTGATTTGATTTGATTGTTTAAAATGTCACTTAGGATCATGATGGTAGAGTTAGCTAAGAGAAGTATGTTTTAGTAGAGCTTGTTTAGTGCATCTTAAGAATAAACATGACTTTAGCCTAATACTACAATGGAAATGCGTCATCTTTTAAGACAATGGTATCAACCCAGAAATTAATCTCCACCACACCTTACGTGACCCCACACACTACACAAATTAATCTCCACTGCACAATCCTCCACTCAGAAAATTCTGGGTGAGTAAATCTGGGTTACCAACTTTTCCCAATGGTAATATTCATATGGCTTTTGCGGCATTCGGATTCTTCATGGTGGCATTCTTTCCTAGGTACAAACAAAAAATGTGAATCAATTTTTGATCCTGGAGTTGTTGGAAGCACCTTTTCGGGAAAGTGGTGTCAAGGAGATGAATTGATGAATTTTTTGTAGTTTACTCTTCAGGCTGCATTTTCATCATCGTGTTGTTGATGTTGTCTCTATGGCGCTATACTATGCAGAATAGAGAAAGGGACATAAGAATTAGCGATTTTCATTAGAATTAAAAGTCTATGTTGTTGATAAGTTGTTTACTCAAAGGTGGTCCAACATCTCCTCATGTGCGGGAAAAAGAGAGAAGAAAAAAGATAGCTAGTTGGAGCTAGTTAGAAAGTATTAGACAGTCATCCCTATGTGGCTGTTTAAGAGAATATGAGTCCATCTATGAAAATAAATTCATAGAAGTGGTTTTAGCAATGCCACCAAAATCCAAACACCACTATGTCTTTATTGAATGACAACAGATGGCTAATAATGTTCATCATGATTAGAGCAATATTTGGGAGAAAGAACAATGAAGGCTGCCCTACGAGCAAATATGGTGGACTAGGCTTCATTTTTTTCGATTTGTGTTTGGAAAGCTAGGATAAGGGTTAATGATGGAACACAGATTAGTATTTTGGAGGTTTGATGCCAAATTTTGGTTTAGAATCTATTGTGATAACTTGCTGGGTTTTTTGAGACGCTAGGGCTTAAAAGTAAGGTCTTAGGGTTTTAAGGTTTCAATGGACAGACTTAATATGACAGCTTGTTGATTTACAGGCTTGTTGCAACTCATTTAAATCATTCTTGTATCTTTACATCTTATCTTTGTGTTCATTCTTTCATCCATTTTGTTGTCGATTTGAATGTCAGTTTATATTCATTATGGTGAAAAGAACATCATTTATTGCTTATTTAACTGTTTTAACTAGTAAATGCTGTTATGTTTTAAGAAATAATGGGATGAGGATCTGGCAAGCAATGTTAGGTCTCTATCAAATCTTTTATTTCTACACTCTAAGCTATCCCAGTTCAAATATTTGTAAAATCTTCTGTCTCTCACTCTCTCTCTCACACACACACAATCACACTCCCAAATATATTTTGGCAATTATTTTTCCATATTATTAAATAGTCGAATGTTTTAACACTAAAGTTTTCCTTTTAACCCACATCAGATTATTTACACTTACCACATACCTGTGACAAAGATCCATTTTACAGCCCTCCAAGCCTTTTAACACTCATAACTACTATCATCTAAAAATGCAGGAGTTGGAAAGAGTTGCCTGCTATTGCGCTTCTCGGATGATTCATTTACAACAAGTTAATTGGGTATGTATTTGAAACCATTTGGTTATAGTTTTTCATAATCTTATAAATTATAATTTTCTGCCGCTTCCTGAGTATCAACGTTTTGCCAGGATCGATTTTAAGCTTAGAACAATTGAGCTTGATGGAAAACGCATCAAGCTGCAAATATGGGATACTGCTGGCCAAGAACGTTTTCGTACAATCACAACAGGTACCTCATTCTGGGTTCAGAAGGAAATCATAAACCTGAATTTGTCACGGAGGCCTGGAATATGCACCATGAGCAGGAGTTGTAGCCTGTTTGGTGGTCTGTGGTCTGTTTGCAACTTTGTTGTATTAATCAAGATGGACCGTCTCAGTGTTTTAAAAGGTGCACGCCTAAAAGGCGCAACGAGGCACGGCTTTGCGCTGCGAACTGGTCGAGGCGAGGCGCAATACGCAAGGCGCTGCTTAGGCGCTGAGGCGAGGGCTTTTTTTCAAGGCGTGGGCTTCATGGGTTTTACCTATTTTTTTACTCCAATTGTTGATTAAATGCTTTTTATTTCTTGTTTGAACTGCAAACTAAAAACTTAGTTATTTTGAACTTTATGTGGATGATCTTAAAACTTGAGGTTTTTGGTGGATGTTAATGTGATACTTTATATCTTTTGTTGGATATTATAATTCTAATTTTTAGAAGATTAAATGTTATGTTTATCAATCATTTGAAATGGTAAAGCTTGTTTTGTTATTTTTGGAATTATATATATATTTGTTATGTTGAAAAGTTTGCCTATTTTATAATTTTGCTTTTCTTCTACTATTCACGTCTCGCCTCGTGCATCACGCTTTAGTGTATAGGAGACCCTATCGTCTCGGTGCGCCTAGAGTCTTTTAAAACACTGGACAGTCTTCTTCTGGATGAATAGTTTATATTACTTACTATATTCAGTGATTTAATCAAGTTCAGATTGTCTCTTTATATATTTTAATTTCTTTATTCCATTCTACTTTCTCATCTTCTCTTTATTTGTTGTTTAGCTTATTACAGGGGAGCCATGGGTATATTGCTGGTCTATGACGTTACTGATGAGTCATCATTCAACAGTAACTTCTCTTATTTTCCTCTTGGTTGTTTGTTTCCTCATTAGGGTCGTCTGTTGCTTGATTTGTATCAATGAGAAAATTTAAACATGTTGCAATCCTAATGATGTGTGCTCTCGTATTTATGTAGACATAAAGAACTGGATCAAGAACATAGAGCAACATGCTTCTGATAATGTCAACAAGATACTAGTGGGTAACAAAGCTGACATGGATGAGAGCAAAAGGGTAATGTATAAACTTCCCCAGAGTAATTTCTCAAATCAGTTTACTTTTCAGATATGAGGCTCAATTGAAATTCGGTTCCATTGGCAGGCTGTTCCAACATCATGGGGCCAGGCTCTTGCTGACGAATATGGCATCAAATTTTTTGAGACTGTAAGTTAGTAGTAGAATATGTGATTCAAGAATGCACATGAGATCTGGCTAGCCCGCACAATTTTATTAGATCACACGGGCACAGTGGAACTACCTCAGTGTGTTTTTGGTTGCCTTCCCTTTTGATGGAATTTATTACTATGGGCATGCTAATATGCTATACATGTGTACATTGGCCTGGGAAATATCCAGTGCCCCTAGATTCCCTAGATCGTATCTCTTTTACATTTCACCCCGGAGATGATGCTGTGAGCTGATACTACTGAATCTCTTCCAAACAGAGTGCAAAAACAAATCTCAATGTGGAGCAGGTCTTCTTTTCTATTGCTCGAGACATAAAACAAAGACTTGCAGAGAGTGACTCCAGAGCAGAGGTACAAGTACAAGTTAGTGAATTTTCTTGAGGGTTTATAGACAGTGGTGGATCTAACATATGTCCCTTCAATGACTCGAAAATTATGTTAATCATACGATTTTTGAAATGTCTTTCAACATGGGCCTCCTAAATATTATATATATGCCCCTATTTTTTTTTTTTGGTAGCCCATCTGTTTTTTTTCTTTTTTTCAATAAAATCCCGTAGTTTACCCCTTCAATGTTTATTTTGCTATAAAATCTATAAATCACCTTAGATTGACTGAAATGATGAGTTTTTATTTTTTAGTTTTTTGAGTCAATGCTGTGAAAAATATTTTTGTTTGAATATATCTTGACTAAATTAAACCGAATCAGTCAGAATCAACCCTTGCCTTAGTTTTACCCCACTCCTCTCTGCAAAAATTCTCCTCCACTGTTTATAGATGTATATGATTTTTTAATTTTCTTTTAATGATCCTTACTCATAAGATCATGTTTGTTGCTTTGTCTGTTTTTTATACGCAGCCTCCAAGCATCAAACTCAGTAAACCCGACGCAGGTAAGGGTTCAACTGCTGCTCCAGAGAAATCAGCATGCTGCGGTGCTTGAGAGCTTTTAGCAGATCATGAAGGTGCGTAGCTGTTATTCTCTTGTGCATGTGCAAATTGAAAGTTGTTTTCCAGTTAGCCATGGCAAATTGAATGCCCACCAAACAATTCTTCTTTTAAAATCCCCGGTGCTTACTTTGTCCTCAGTCTGCTGGGAAGCAGCCTGCACAAATCACAACTGGGAATGAGTTTTTGCTTGTATTGTTACCTTCTGGATACTTTCACCCTTAAGATCTATCTATCTATATATAATCTCATTTACCATATTCTGTTAGAATTGATCTTGATTTGGTTTAGTGGTACTAGATAACAATATTCTTTGCTTTTCAAGATAATTATGAAGATTTGGGAGGTGCATAATTCTTGTACAAATCATTGTTGACTATATAGAGACAAAAACAATTGCCTCTTTTGAATTTAAAGTATATGAATATGTGATCTAGGTCCCTTTTAGAAACTTGATCTTATCATGGTTTTCTTCAAAAGTGAACCAGGATATTACAATAATATTTTAGAAAACAAAAGCAAAAGTTGAAACCATCTATGAAAAAGGGACACCTTAGGTGGGGTTTTGGTTCAAATGCTTTCACCATTGATCCAGGAGATGAAATGAAGATTGGCTATTTATCTGCATTGGTGCCAACCATCCATGTCACCAACACACAATGCTTGGATTGAAATTTGAATACTGGACTTCAAGCGAAGCAGATAGATGATCCACCAATTTTTTTGCTTCTTGTCAATCTTGCAATTAGCAAATTAATAAAGATAATTTACTGCTGCATTGAAGAGTAAAACTTACCAAAGAAGAATAAAAAGCTGTATTGAAAAATAATAAACTACTCAAAGCACAAAGTGAAAAACTCGCATTAATTTAGATAAAATACATGCAAGTTTGTTTCCATAAAGCTTGTGAGGATTAAAAAAAAAAAAAGAAGAAGAAGAAGCAAACTTTACACAAGCTAATAGATTTTATTTGAGTGCCAATACTCCCAGAACAGCTACTGGGACAACTATACATAATTTGATCATGAAAGGTTTAGTGACAAGCTCTGTCTGCCATTAGCAATGCTGCTTGGTGAGGGCCTCTGTATGATATACATATTATGTCTCACAACCTCTGTTGTGTCATTTTATGAACAACAACCGCCACCGCCACCGCCACCGCCACCGCCACTGCTACCGCTACCGCCACCGCCACTGCCACCGCCACCGCCACCGCCACTGCCACCACCACCGCCACTGCCATCAAGTTTCACTCCGGGAGATTCTTCTTTCTCGAGACCAGGGCCTTTCATGATCTGTAGAAAAACCAAAATGAGGGTAGAATGTGGGACAGAAAATGTACTTTTACGATATCAGTCAACATAAATATCATCTATTTAACAGTAGCATACTGTTTTTCATGTTTTATATGAGGTTGATAAGTAGTTAGGGTGATTTTGAACTTCCCATATATGTGTTTAGTGTAAGAATCCATGCTATACTTGACACTTACTCATAATCAATGAAGAGGGATTGTTCAAATTCAATCCCAGTGTGTAGAATAATAATTGGACTAATACCATTCCCATTTTCCTAATTCTGCATTGTTATTCATGCAAATGACTAGTATATACCTAACATATTGGAATATAAGCTCTTCCAATAGTTAGAATTTCCAAACTCTGCATTGGTTTTTTGATAAATGGGTGGCCAAGCCAACTTGTGCGCATCTCAACTAATTTTAAGACCCTGAAGGTAACTACCAAGCAAACCTTAAGGACCTTAGCATAACTCAAACTCGAGACTTTGGACATACAAATGTCTAGTCTATCATCCCCTACATACATGGTGACATTGGCAATATAAACTCTTCCATTGGTTAGAACAACTCCATACTTGGCAATGTAACTACAACATGGACAGTACATGAATATGTCTGCCACAATATAACAACAAAACACACACCATAGTACGATATAGTACGAGAAAAGGGAAGATAAATTTACTTTATTCATCTAGTTTCACAAGAAAGGCAAATGTAAAAGGTAAATTTATTTATTAAAACCCTTCCTTACCTTTAAAGCAAGCTCTTGAAAGCATTGATCCACATTTTTTTTAGTTTTAGCACTGCATTCATAAAATAAACATCCAAGCTGTTTTGCAAGTTCAATTCCTTCTTCTCTACTTACAACCCTTTCTGATTCCTGTAATCATGCATCGAATGAATTTAAATTCATAAAATGTGAATAGAAAGTGAAATTAATATGATTGAGGGAGAAATTATTAAAGACTATAAAATAGGTTATGCTAGAGACGAGTAATCATAATTAGTGTTAGGGAATTAGTGAGCCCACCAGGGAGCCCTCAAGCGCACAACAATATTGGCCCAATCCAATATGGAGAAACTCTAGAGTCCAGAGACGCCACATCAAGGCTCAACATATATTATTTGGAACTCATACTCACGTAAAAGTATAAGCCTACAAGTGAAAAGTCCATTTAATGTATATTAAAACTCATATATTTTTACTCTTTATCTGATGTGAGACTCTATCTTCACACATGCTCCAATAATCTCCGCCTCATGTGTGAACCAAATATTGAGTCTCTCCATACTTCCCCTCAAGTCTTGATCTATCATCCGCAAGTTTATCATAGATAATTACGCACTCCTTAATCTTAATCTATAACTCTCCAACATTGAATCCAACCTAGACCACTTGCACACGCTCCATCGTGAGCCACCATACTCCATTGAGAGCCACCTTGCCGCGGTCCAACCTTGCCACATGCACTAAGAATTTTCTTTACTCAATTAAGAATAACCATGATTTTTTCTTGCTCTAGGAACCAATGCTCTAATACCATTTGTTATGGTATATGATCAATATTAAACACTAGGACCTAAGCAAACAACACATGACGAATCTAGAGCAGAGAAGAAAAAGAACTACAAAAGCAACACGAGATTTTACATGGTCACCCAAATCACAGGCTACGTCCACAGAGTCACTACGGATTTACCAAGATCAATATGAAAGGATTTTTAAGAGTCTCTCACACTCAATCTCACAAACTCTCTCTCTACAATGATCTATCTCACTCTCGCTACTATGTATCTCTCTAAGATCACAAAACTAATGAAAGAATTAAAAAACATAGAGCTACATGGGTATATTTATAGAACTAGCCTTAAACCCAATCCTAAATTAATAAGGAAATCAAAACTTAAACTAAGAGGAGATTTAGTCTTGTTTTAGGCTCCACCAACAACAATTAGATCCTCTAAGTTTCCATCAAGTTATCACATTACTCTACTTTTTTACACAACTTTTCGTAAAAAATTAAAAAGTTACTAAAATAGTTTATTCTCAAACGAGACCTGAGAATACTTTTAGTGGTTGTCGTGTACATTGGGTCCACTTTTCCTTTCCATTTTAATGATTACAATCTTCCTTGCTAAGGACATAAGCATATAAACATCAGAAGTAACTTATCAACAGCAAAACAAAACCTTACTTTGTCAACTTTATTTCCAACAAGCATCTTAATGCAATTCTTATTGGTGGAGTAAAGATCTACTTCTTTAGTCCACACATCCGACAAGTTTGTAAAGGTTTCCCTCCGTGTTACATCATAAACTGTGGATCAAGGGAGGAGAATTGCGTTAATTCAATTAACGAAAATAGTGGGATGATAAAAGCAGTCAAAAAAAATTTAAAATAAATTACATAAGCTAAATCTTTACAAGAGGATGAGTTGTTGTCAACTAATTCAAGAAAATAAAAAACTAATTCTAGAAAATAAACTTTGCCTTGCATCCCTACAATATTATATGGTTGACGGCTTTACCAAGAAGAATCCCTTGGGCTGATCTATAGTAAGAGCTTATCAATGTCCTGAACCTCTCTTGTCCAGCTGCAACATATAACACCGAGTTTAGAAACCGATCACAATTTGTCTACAGAAAAAAAAAAAAAAATTCACATTTTCAATGTGTCAATGAACGTTGCGGTGCACAACCTTAAATATTGTATGAACACTCCACACATGTATGCTCTCTCTCTCTCTCTCTCTCTCTCTCATCATCGTCATCGTCATCGTCATCGTCATCGTCATCGTCATCAATGTGTTTCTTTCCCCATCTCCTTTTGGCGATTCTGATAAAGAGTTTTGGATGTGTTTCTTTCCCCATCTCCTTTTGGCGATTCTGATAAAGAGTTTTGGATTTCCAAATCTAAACTACTTTTGTCTCTTAAGAGGGGGATGAGAACCAACAGAATGAACATAGCATTTGATTCAATGAAAGAAGCTATAAATTGCACTTTTTTGGATATACCTCCCCATCACATGAATTTGAGTTTAACCCATCTGGGGTGTAAGCGCTTAGTTTATTAATGATTGTTTGACAATGGGTAATAATATTTTTTTTAATCAGCAAAGAAAAATTTCGTTTAACAGTATGAAATTAAAAGTACAGGAAGATGGCATGCATCGAAAGAGTTTCGGAAGTATAAAAATACCCCTACTACTGCTATACGCACCCATACAACCAACCCCTAAGCCTCTCAATTTTTTAAATAAAAAAATTAAAAAGAACTTAACTAGAAAAATTAAAAAACATGAACCCACACACAATCAACCCACCAAAACACCTAAACCAAAAAAAAAAAAAAAAACCACTAAACCAAGACAACCAAAGCAGCCCGAACCAAACCAAAACAACATCTAATCAAACAACTCCTCTGCCAAGGCCCACTCCTCTACTGATCAGACAACTCCTCTGCCAAGGCCCACCCCTCACGCCTCTGCTGCAGCCTCTACTGCTACAACCACTCCTTAGCTGCTGCCCACGCCACCCCTAGCTGCTGCAGCTCCCACCTCCCAAAGCCCACACCCGAACTGCTAAACAAACAAAACCACACCGGCCGAGAATACTCCATAACCACAACCTGTGGCAACTCCCCTGCCGGAAACTCCAAAGCCACCACCTGCGGCAACACCCCTGCTGAAAAACAAAACATCACCCACTGATCAGTGCCCACCAAGTCTTCTTCTTGCTCACACCCGAACTGCTCACACCCAATAGCCACGCCAAGCCTCTGCTGCAGCCCACGTCTATGCTGCTGCCCAACTCCATAGCCAACACCTGAAAAATAAACCAAGCTGCTGCAAAAAACCATGCTACAGATCTTCTACTCCAAAGACACCTCCATACAAATGGAAGTTCATCCCTCAAACTCTCTCACGAGAAGGAGCGCTCGAGTGACACCTGGACAAAAACTGGATCGCCTACGGCTCTTGCGACACCCACTTCTCCACCAATCTTAACCAGAAAGCACCCCTCAAGCTCCTACTCGCCAGAAAGCGCTCGAATGAAAGTCCTGAACGACCCCCACAGCAAGGTTGAATCGCAAACCCAACGGCCCCTGGAGACAAACCTGGACGACCCCCGCAGCAACAAATAACACTCCTAGGTGGGGAAAATGAGGGATTCAAGTTTATTTAAAGAAAAATGGGTAATAATATTGTCACATTTTTTTTTGAAAATGGTTCTAGCCTTGTATGCGATGGGAAAATAGTTTGTTCAATCATTCATTTCCATTCCACTTCAGTCCGATCCAATGAATGTTTCCCTTTCTAGCCTTCATTCTTAAACAAAAAGGGAAAAAAGGAAAAAAAGAAAAAGAAAAAGAAAAAAAACATCAAACATTTCAAACAACATAGCACAAAAGAGAGATCTTTGTTTAATCAAATGGTGTGAATAATATATAACCAACAACACAAAGATAACTGAATGATGATCATGTAATATCTGTAATCATGAAAGCCCTATTAAAACAAGAAATTGAATTCTCATTTGGAATATAAGATGAAAAAAAAAAATAGATATTTGTGGCAACTTATTACCAGTGTCCCAAATGGTTAGCTTCAATTTTTTGCCCCCAACAGTTAGATATTTGATTTTAAAATCCACACCTGGTCACAGTTGAGATAAGATGCGAAAAAAAAAATAATAATAATTAGATATAAAATAAAATTAAAAAAAAAATCTTAGCCCCTCATGTATAACTCTTGATTTATTAAATCAATTTTAATAATATGTTCCAAACATAAAAAATTAATAATTAGATATAAAATAAAATTAAAAAAAAAATCTTAGCCCCTCATGTATAACTCTTGATTTATTAAATCAATTTTAATAATATGTTCCAAACATTATAATTTCACTCATAGAAAAGAACCATAATTCAGATTGTGTTAGAGAAAAGAATTATGACTAGATTAATAATATTTGTATATCAAGTTACTTGTTGACAACTGGGTCCTTTGTTACTGCATTGATTTTTTGTTTTTTTCGAAGTTGGATATAAAAACTCATTTGGTATATTGTTTTTGTTTTTAAAATAAGTTTGTACTCTCCTCCTCCTATACGAGATAAGTTTCCTTCAATATTTCACCTCTCCATATTTATCTATATTATTTTTGATGATTCAAATCATCTATTTTATAGGCTTCATAGTAAAAGTTATATATACAAAAAAAATTAGATTTCTCAGACAATTATAAACATAAAAACAAATCACGTTTTATTTTATAAAATGAGTGATTTTAATTTATAATCTTATTTACTATTCTTTTTAAAAAATAAAATGTAATTTATTCTTATATTTATATATAATTTTTATTACAAACTCTCCTTGTGGGAAGCTCTTTCACAAAAAAATTGCTTATAAGCAGTTTATAAATAACTTTTAATTAAAAAATTAATTATAACCATCTTTCAAAATAGACGATTTGAATCAACTAATCCGAATTTGAACTCACAAAAAAAAAGTGTAAATGAATATAAAAAGATGCAAATATGTAAAGGATCTAATCCCCCCCTACGCGCCAGCACTGCCAACCATTGGCAACCGCCGGTGACCACATCTGTTCATCTATCCACCCTCCACTATCGACCAGTACCTCCGAGAACTTGCAAAACTTTTTTTTTTTTTTTTTTAATTTTATTTTCATTTGTTAAAAATAAATAAATAAATAAATAAACTGCATATCATACAAGTTTTTTATTTTTATTATTACAAAATTTATTTATTTATTTTTGGATAACAGAAAATAAGAAATTAACAACATTAACAAACAAACGATATTGAGAAGATTAAGTGAGTGTGTACCGATGGTAGGGGCGGAATATTCAGTGTACTTGGAGGTGAAGCTAAGGACGAGACTGGTTTTGCCGACTCCAGAGTCTCCTATTATCAATATCTTCAATGCCAAATCGTAAGCGATGTTCTGCTCTGACGATGAATCCATTGATGATGATGATGATGATGATGCTGATGATCAATGTCTCTCAGTTCTGTGCTTTGCTCTTTCTCTCTCACTCTCTTTCTTCATGACAATTGAGTATTTAAGGAGAGAGAGCGAAGAACAAAAAGGCATAAAGAGGGAAGCGAATGGCATCTCTACAGACAAAACAGAGGACAATTAAAATGCTATTCTTTTGCTGGAAATGTTCCGGTGTGTAATGTACATGGTATATAATTCTACATAAAATTATGTAAATTGAATACAAATTTACATAATTTCATAAAAAATTATGTGATTATGCGAATTTATATTCAACTTATACATTTTTATAAAATTAGTTATGTAAGTTCGTAAAATTTACGTAATTTTGTGTAAAGTCACATATATACATTTATTACTGTGTAAAAAAATTGACTATTTCACTGAAATTGCACTAATTCACATCAATTTATACCGTTCTATTCACTAATTGTAGTTCAAATTTTAAAATTTATAATTCGTCTTTGAAATCGTTTTGTTCCACTATAATTGATATATATATATATATTTTAACTTATATTGAAATATTAAAGTAGAAATGAGCGTGAAAGAGATTTAATATGTGAAATTTATTACAAATTAGTAGTTCTATATATATATAAATATCATGTAAAATTAATTTATATTATATATATATAAAATATTATGCAAATTAGTGTTATATATTATGTAAAAATTTGATAATTTATTAAAATATTTTTCAATTCTTTAATTCCTCATTCAATTTATAATTTGACTCTTAAACCATTACGCACACCCTATACACATCCAATAATTTTCCTTCTTCACTTTTGCTTATCCATTCCATATGCGATTCTGTTTTCGAGGATTTTAAAATATTTCCAAGCCCACCAGAGGCGGTGGTGGTGTGTTGTGAGAGAACGCAGCTTTCTTTCTTGCTTAAAAGCGTCTTTTTGGTGAGGAGAAAGTTTATTCGATTCCATGCCAACCCTGAGAGATTTTGACTCTGTTTGATAGAGGTTTCCAATTTTAATTTCATTTCTTGGTTTGAGTGTAGTATTTGGTTATAATTTTTAAAAATTGATCTCACACTCACTTTTGTAAACACTTCTATTCGGCCATCTTTCTAGACGTCCGGTCTGTTGACCAGAATAATATTTGTTTTTTTAAACCTATAATTTTTATATTTTAAATAAAAAATATTTTCATAATTTTAAAAAAAAATTTTGAGCTTTGAATATAATTTTAAATTGTTTATTTAGTTATGAGTTGTAAATTTTTGAATCAAATATCATATGTCGTATCAAAAATTTCAAACTCAATTCAAAACTCTTTTTTAAACTCATAACCAAACAAATTTTTCACACTCAAATCATAATTCCAAAACTCACAAATTCAAAATATAACTCTATTCTCAAATTATAATTCTAAAACTTTACCAAACGCTACCTTTATTTTTATGCACTAATTCCCGGGTGTGTTTGATTGGGGGGATTAGGGAGGGAACTATTCACTATTCGGATTGCTTATCCGAAGGAGTGAGTAGTCCATTGTTTGTTTTTTTTTTTTTTGCTCCGGTTTTTTTTTTTGGATTTTTGGTGAAACCGTCATTTTGGGCCTTTTTATTAGGGTAAAGGATAACCCAATCAATTTTCTTTCAAAAAGCCCCTAATTAGGAAATGCCTACCTTAATAAGGACATTTTATATTTTCTATTTTTTTTTATCACAATATTCTCCCTCTATATATACGTATAATACATTTGAAATATTTGAAATCTGAGCTGAACGAAATCAGGAACGAAATCTCGCAGGAACGAAATCAATGAAGACGATCTCCAAATATGAAAATCTCGCAGCCGAAGATCTCTCACTTGCTCAACAATAGACGATCTCCCCGCCGACGATCAACACTCTCAATTAAACAAGAGTTTCATTGAGATTTGTGACTGTTGATCGAGTTTTAGAAGTTTTTCTTCTCGATTAGGTATGTTGATTAGTTGATTAATTTTTTTTTTGATTTATTTTTGTTGTGTTTGATTTGATTTCGTTTGACAGAACTAGAGTAAAATTTTACTCTGGTTCTATTGCTCTGTTTTTTGTTTCAGAGAATGAGAGTAAAATTTTACTCTGGTGTTAGAATGACAGTAAAATTTTACTGTCAAGAGGTGGCTTCATTGTCTGCAAATAATACCATTTCTATAAAGTGCAAATTTACTATGTTGTTGAATGGTCATCTATGGGTGTGTTAAGCCTGTGGTTTCACAGTAAAATTTTACTTTATTTCAGAGTAAAATGTTATTTTTAGATTAAAATTTTACCTTATTTCGGAGTAAAATTTTTTACTTTTGTGCAGAGTAACATTTTACTTTTAGATTCAAAATCTAACATTTTACTCATTTTTCAGAGTAAAATTTTACTTTTCTATAGAGTAAAATTTTACTTTTAGATTTAGAGTGTAACATTTTATTCGTTTTTCAAAGTAAAATTTTACTTTTGTAGAGAGTAAAATTTTACTTTTAAAATCAAGGTGTAACATTTTACTCTTTGATTCAAAGTGTAACATTTTATTCTTATTTCACAGTAAATTTTTACTTTTAGATTCTTTTTGTAACATTGTACTCTTATTTCAGAGTAAAATTTTACTTTTAGATTCCTGTCTCAAGTTGTGTTGGTGACACACTGCATGAGTTGTCAATCTTTGGCAAACCAAATAGCAAAAATTAACTCTAAAATTTAGTACAATGTTATACTAAATCACAGTAAAATTTTATCAATTCAAACTAAACACAAATTGACTTTTGGACTTGCAGTGACAGTAAAATTTTACTTTGATTGACAGTAAACTTTTACTGTTAATTGTTTGCAGATTTGTAAAATGGTTCCACCTCTTATGTTGTTATGCAAGTATGGTGATCGTATCATTGTGTTCAAGGTTGTGTCGAACTGTACGTTGAAGGATTTAAATGATTTCTTAAGTTGTAAATTGAAGAAGTTTGACAATAGTGGTTGCATACTGTTATCGTACTGTTTGCCTAGACATTTGCAATGCATGATTGATGATGATTCTGATTTTCAGAATAAGTTGTCGCTTGTTTATCCCCTTGGTGTTGACCGGGTTGATGTGACTATTACTAAAATGGGCATTTCAAATGAAAAACATGGAGTTGGAGAATCAAGGGACGCTACTGGATCCAACATTACTGATGATGAAATGGATTTACTCCCTATGTTTTGTTAACATGAAGAAAGGACTTTGTTGTCTTGTGGATGGGTGAATGGAATTACTCATGTAGGTCAAAGATTTATAGGATGTGCAAAGGATTTCCGGACTGCATTATGTAAATATGCCATTGAGATACGATTTGAGTTTGGGTCGCTGCTGTGTGTTCAATGCAGGAGTCCAAAGCTTGTTTATGGCGAGTACATGCATCTTTAGAAAGTGCTAATAATTTTTTCTACATTAGGACTCTACATGATGAGCATACTTGTGAAGCTGCTGTTCGTACTTCTAAAAACTCAAGGATGAGTTCAAATTTGGTTGCAAGTTTGATTGTTAATGAAGTTCGTGGGAATCCCCAAACTCGTCCAATTGATGTTGTGCGTCAATTTACAAATCAATACGGGCTCACCATTACGTACAATCACGCTTGGTTAGGAGTTGAGAAAGCTAGGATTACTACTTTTGGAGATTTCTCTATGTCTTATGATGAGATTCGATGGTAAATGGATATTGTGATGAGCACAAATCCTGGTAGCTATTTGCGTCTTGACTATAACCATCAAAGTGGACGGTTCAAAGATTTTTTTTTGCATTTAATGCTTCCATTCAAGGGTTTAGGCATTGCCGTCCTCTATTGTTTATCGATGGAACTTTTCTGAAGGGGAAATATAAGGGCACCTTGTAAACAGCTACATCGAAGGATGGGGATCAAGGTAGATATTACTATAGTTTATTCAAAAGTAACATGTTACTTATTCTCAGAGTAACATGTTACTTATTTTCAAAGTAATATGTTACTGTTATTCAGAGTAAAAATCTACTATATTTGTCCTTTTCGTTTAATGTACTTACTAATTATAAAATGTTATTTTTCAGGTTTTTTCCCTCTTACAATGGCAATTGTCGATATGGAGACTACAGACAGTTGGGAATGGTTTTTAATGCATTTGTCGAATATATTGTTGGATGAAAGACCAATTACCTTCATATCTGATCGGAACGCAGGACTTTTTGAGGCTTTACCCAGGGTTTTACCTACTGCTTATCACTATTTTTGTCTCCAACACTTGAAGGCCAATTTGAGGGATAGGTTCTCCAGTCCAAGTTTCAGCAATACTTTCAGGAGTAGGATAGTTTTTTTTATTTTCTTCATGTACTTATGCTCCGACAGTGGGATGTTTTAATCAGTGCTTAAAAGAATTACAAGATGAGGGAAAATGGATCGTTTGTAGGTTTCTATCCAATTTGCCCTATGACAAGTGGACTAATGCATATTTTAAAGGACAAAAATACAGTGAAATACACTCGAATGTGGCAGAGTCTTTCACTTCATGGATCCGTCAAGCTCGTCATTTGCCCACTACGAAGATGATTGATTCAATTAGGTTGAAAATCATGGATTTGATGTCGAGAATGAGAGAACAAGCTAAGAAATGGAATACTTTTCTTTGTCCGGAGATGGATTCAACATTAGTAAATGCTCTTAAAAGTGAAAGAACTTGGTTGGTTAGTCGTTCAAGTGATCATGTTTTTGAGGTTCAATCCCGGCCATCGGTTAGCGTTGACATCTTGAATAGAACTTGTTCATGTTACCAATGGCAATTGAATGGATTTCTTTGTGCTCATGCGGCGACCGCTATCCGAAAGAGCGAAGGTGATTTGTATGCACATGTGGAACCATTTTATTACACTAGCAAGTTCAAAGATTGCTATGCTGAGTCCGTTTATCCAATACCCACTGTTGATAAAACTCTTGTAGCTATGGATGATCTTGTTGTCCTTCCTCTAATTTGTAAGAAGCCACCTGGTAGGCCAAGGAAGAATAGGATCCCATCTAGGGGTGAGAAGATAAGACGAGTATAGTGTGGTAGATGCGAGAAG